AATAATAGAACAGTCTCCCATTAATATACTGGCTCTTTGTTTTATATGATATATAAGTTTGAGGGGTTCAGGGCCTCTGACTGAAATATGGATACACCCCCCAACTCACTCCTACACACTAAGATTGTGCCTGTGAACAGCTATTCTCTTCTCATGAGTAAGTAACAATAAAATTCAGTAAAGCTATCTCTGTGTGCAGGTGTTCTTCATCCTGAAATCCCCTGCACTGCAAGAACTCTGAGCAAGAAACAGTGACTTTGGAGAGAGCTTAGCTTTACATTTAATGGTAGGCACAGGAATTCTCTGTTATGGTTATCAGATGAACCTAAAGATCTAGCCATGATTAACTTCTGGTCTCAGTCCTGTGCAGGTGTGTGAATATGACAGGTGAGACATTGTCCCAGTTGAGCCTGATGGTGATTTAATGTTAATATGCAATTTCTTTTCCTTCTTAGAATGGTATGGATTTAAAACATTTTTTAGGTTTGCCCCTTCCCTCTTGCTTCCAAAGAAACTTGCCCAGTAACATTTCTGTTTCTCCCCCTGTAGATCTTCACCCAAATGCTTTGCATCACTCTTTTCTACCATCTGGTTCATGAATTTCCTTGTCTGTCTTTTCAATCATCAATATTCCTATGTTGCCCTTTTATTTAATCTCTTCCTTTTGTAACACTGGTTATCCTGGTCCCCATTGCCTAAAGGCCAGGCATGTTATATTTCACCCCTCACCCAGGTTTCTTCAGTATCCTTAAGGGGGGTTGGGGTGTCTAGCTTCTCTGTCAATGGCTCCAGTGCCTGTCAATGATGTTCCTCCAGTTGTAGGCGTGGTTCCCCTGCACTCCAACCCTGTTTAACCACCAATAGCCAAATTAACTTTTACAAAGAAATATTTACTTCAAAGGTATAATCACAAATATGCAAACTTACTCCTCAACAAATGGGGCTTAATCCCCATCTCCACCACATACACCCTCTGTACCACCTCAGTCTCTGAGGAAGGGAAGGGGATTAGACTGATAGCTAAACTCAGTTCCCATAGGGCTAAGTCCCAGGTCATAGACAAAATCAAGCCCCAAATACCCTGCTTCTCTGGCCTTCTCTGCCAGGCGGATGCACTGCAACAATCTACCTGGGACCCTGGTTCTGAGGTCACCCTCTCAGATTCCAGAGAGAAAGGAGGAATCATTGGCTAGTACCTGAGAATGAGAGGAACAAATGAAAAAGAACAGAAACTGAAACACTGTAAGCCATGGGACTTAAAAAGGAGAGGAAAGGGGAATATCCCCCCTTCCCAGTTCAGTGCCCACTGCACTGTGGGTGAACTGTAGCTTTCACCCTCTAGATGCAGCTAGAAAGAGAGAAACTGTCCCAATCTGGCAGTTTTTAAAGACCAATCTGTCCAGCTACATAGCCAATCGAAGGAAATTATTCCCCTTCATGCGGTAGGGGCTCATTCATGGTAGGTGATCTGTGCACGCTTCAAGACCTCAATGAGGAATAGAGAGAGACTAAAGAAAAAAATCCAGAAGGACCATGAATTGAAGAGTTGAAGTCAAAAATAGGGAAGATAAATAATGAAGATAGGAAAAGAAATCCTTTTTAGAAAAAGGTTCAGAAAGTGAAGATTTTAAAGTAACAAACAAAACAAGATGAAAGGAAGAAAGGGCAGAGGATTTTGCTTGACTCCATAAAGCAATAGAAGAATGTTGTCAAAAAATAAAATAAAATATCCAAGCTAACAGAAGACCAGATAGAGATCTTAAATAATCTGATCTCCAAAAAAAGGGGCTGAAAAAGAACTATTAAAGAAAAAAAAAAACTCTGGGTCCTGATAGATTGATTCACTGAATACTTCTATCAAACTTTAAAAGACTAATTAGTACCAATATTAAACAAATTATCCTCAAAAATTAAAGAGCACCCTACCAGATTCATTTTTATGAGGCAAACATACACATAATGCCTAAACCAGATAAAGATAAAGAATAGAAAAACTATAGACCAGTATAATTAATGAATATGGATTGAAAAATTTTAAAGTCCACTATGGCCAAATTGAATTTATACAAGAGATTCAAAGATGGTTCAATATTAGGAAAACTATTAATATAATTAAGCATATTAAAAACCAAAACGTCAAAAAAATCACATGACTATCTCAGTAGTTGCAGAAAAGACCTTTGCCAAAGTATAACACTCACGTGTGCTAAAAACTCAATGCAACAAAGAATAGGTGTAGATGAATCTTTTTTAATGATAAAAATTATATAAACTAAAAGTAAATATCATATGCAATGGGGATATGCTAAAATACTTCCCAATAAATATGGGAGTAAATCAAGAAAACCCACTCTCCTTTCTATTATTTGATATATTTCTGCAAATGGCAGCAATAGCAATAGGACAAAAGAAAGAAATTAAAGGTATAAAGACAGGTAAAGGGGACCTAAAACTATCCCTACTTATTTATAGCATGATGGTCTACTTAGAAAACTCTAGGGAATTAGCAAAGATACTAATTGAGACAATTATCAGTTTCATCAAAGTCACAGGCTACAAAATAAACCCTCAAAAATCAACCACCTATCTGTATTATTACAAAATCCAAGAGACAATAATTCAAAGGAAAATACCTTTCCAAATAACTACAAAATTGCATAAAATACTTGGGAATCAATTTACCAAAGCATCAAAAATATTTTTGTAGATTCAATTACAAAATGTTTCTTAAATAAAGAACAACTTAAGTAGGTAGAAGAATATTTAGTGCTTATGTATGGCTGAACTGTGCCAATATAATAAAAATGACAATACTACAAAAGTTAATTTAAAATTTTGATGCTATAACAATCAAATTATGAAAATAATACTTTATAGAACTTATAGTAACAAAAATTCATTTGGAAAAATAAAAGATCCATAATATCAAGGGATATAATAAAAAGAGATAGGGACAAAAAGATAATAGTATTTCTAGACCTCAAACTATTATAAAGCAGCAATCATCAAAACTATCTCATATTGGTTTAAAAAATAGAGAGGTAGATCAATGGAACAGAATAGACAAGGGATACACACTAGCAAATGCATAGCTTACAACCAGGAAAAAGACAGCATAATGGATAAAGTGCAGGTCTTGGAGTCTTGAGTTATAATCCTGCCATAGGTATTTACTTAGCCATGTGACCCTCAGCAAGTCATTTAGCCCCTCTTTGCCTCCATCTCCTAATATCTAAAATTGCAATAATATTGATACTTACCTCACAAGGTTATGAGAATCAAACAAGATAGTTTATGCAGGGTGTTTTGAAAACCTTCAGGTTCTATATAAATACTAGCTATCATCATTATTATTTTCATCATTATTATTTATCTTAGTAAAAGGTCTTCATGAGTTTCTGTGGCCAAGAAAAACTAATCCCCTGATAATCAGCTTTGTAGTGATGAACCCCTCTGAATTTAGCTGAATTGGTCCATAGATCAAAGATGTAGTTTATTGAATGAGATAATATTTATAAAGTGCTTAGAAGAGTGTCTGGCAAATAGTAGACTCAACGTTTGTTCCCTTCCTCTCCCTATTGCCAGGTCCATACCTGAAGTCTTTACAGCTTGTTAGGATCTACAAGTCCTGTTAGCAGGGTCACCCCATTACCACAATGAGGCATTAGAGAAAGACAAGAGTAGAGACCTCTGTTTACAGTTCAATACATTGAACTGTGATTTTTGTTAGCACCACAACAACGAAGGTTAAAATTCAGCTATTATTAAGTAGGTAAGCTTTAGAGAGTTGCCTCAAGCTCGTAATAATTTAGTGACCTGTCCATGGTCACAAAGCTAGTAAGTGTCATAGGCAGAATTTGAACCCAGGTCTTCCTGACTCTAAGTCTCTCCATGTTAATTTTTGTGGCGTTTCTGCTAGTTAAAAAAGAAAAAAATCTCCTCACTCAAGTTGGTTAATGTGTGATATATATCACTAGACCTCTGAGATAAGTTTATAGTTTACAGATCTATGTGAAAGTATGCTTAATTAAGATCCCTCTATCGAATATCTTATTCAAGTAAATAAAATTCCTATTCAATGATGTGTCATTTCAGTGTCGTATCCTTTTCCTTTATCTGCCTCTGCCCTTCTCTTTAAGCTACTTAGTGCCCAAGTGACAAAGATTCCTACTGTTTCCCTGCCCAGTGCTGATCACCTGTGACCTACCTTCTCTACTCATCTTTAGCTTATACAATATGTGGAGAGTCCAAATGACAACACAAATGATTTATAGGGGTAAGCTACAGATTGGCCTGATCATGTAATATAATACCTTCAATAACTGTATCTCTCTGCTGAACAAAAAAACCCTCTCAATCTGCTATGCCTGAATTCTCTCAGGGCACCTGAGCACCATCCAGTTAAACCCTGGGGAAAGGTGGGGAAGAAGGTCTGAAACTCAGAACAGTCATCCTGATTCACTCACATCTAATACTTCTCAACTTCAATTCCTTCTGAATATCTTTTATTTTCCTTTGCAAGTACCAAATAAAGATGTGTGTGAAGGGGGGTGGAGGAGTATTTCTCTCCTCTGCACATGTAAATAAATATTTCATGATTTATTTTGGGATTTTTACTTTTTGTTTTGTTTTTAGAGGCAGAGTTAAGTGACTTGCCCAGGGTCACACAGCTAGTAAGTGTGTGAGGCTGGGGCAGCTAAGTGGCACAGTCTATAGAGCACTGGCCCTGGAGTCAGGAGGAGTCAGAGTTTAATTCAGGTTCTTCTGATTCCAGGGCCAGTATTCTATCCTCTGAACCACCTAGCTGCCCCTATATTAGGATTTTTTTTTAATCAAAAAAAAGTTGATAGAACAGGAACAAAATGAGTTTAAATTATAGCATGAGGGATTGGGACTAGATTTCAGATCTTCCAAACCACAAGCACTGGGAACACTGGAATGGGTTTAAAAACAACATATATTTGCACATATACATGGAATCAGGGGTATACTGGTAAATGTTGAACAACCAATTCCACCACCCCCCAAAAAAAGTTCACATAAGACACTTTTAAGTTTGAACTACATTATTCACATCTTCACAATCACTTTAAGCCTAGTCCTGATTTATAGCATTTGAAGATTTCTGAGGTGCAAATGCTCACACTGAATATTTAACAACTGGCTCTTGAGTTGGTATGGCTCCAAACACACAGGCATGGAATCCTGAACCAACGTGAGAAAGCTCTTCTACAATGGTAACATTTTCAGCTGATGAAAACAGAAGGTTCTGGCTGAGTTCGCATAAGACTGGATTTCCAAGAAGATCCATGGCTCTCAACCTGCATTCCCCACAGTTTTGAAACAACTGAACATCTGCAGCGGCTTTGGTAGAATGTCCACAGCTCCCCTCAGCGACTCCCATGAAGAAAAGAGTGCTCCAGGAGCTGCAGAGCAGATGGCCGTTCATGCTGATCCCTGGGCAAAAAAGGAAAAGCTCAGAAAAGTAGTTTCCAAGTAATATTTGCTTGTTTTGAAAACAAAGTCTCTTATAAAAATGACCTCTTTGAAAATGTAAAATTAAGGTATTTACATAAATAAAAGCCCAAGATTAAGCCTCCTCCTCCTTCTTTTCTTCAGAACTTCCTAGTAACATGTTACACTCGTATGGCACTTTGATGGTTTCCAAGGCACTTTCTTTACAATAACAGAGATATAATTTTGTAGATGTCAAGGGATCTCAGAAGTCCTCTAGTTCACCCTGTTTTACAAGTGAGGAAACTGAGGAGCAAGGAAGCTAAGTGACTTGTCCAAGATCACAAAGTTAATAATACAAGATGGACAAAAGTCAAGGTGGTCTGACCCCAGACCAGTCAGAGCTCTTTCCTCTGAACCAAGATGCCTAAAAAACATTCACTTCATGATAACTCCATGAGATCTTTTACTGTCAAACTTCTGAAAAGTGGTCTAAACCTTTTATGTCTATTTCTTCACCATTTATTAACTCCTTAATTCTCTACAATTTACTTGAAACTATTCTCTGGAAAGGCATCAATGACTACCAAGCTTTTGATCGGTCCTGATCCTCCTAAACCTTGGAAACATTAGACACTACTATTCCTTTCTTCTGGGGTCTATCTCTTCCTTCAGCTTCTTTAACATTATACTCTTCTCATCTTCTTCCTCCCTTTCAACCTTTCCTCTGTCTCCTCTTTAGCAAGTCTTCTACTCTCCAGCTTCTATCTCCCCAAGCACTCCAGTATTGTTCTGGGGCCCAGGTGTTCTGAGGCTTCAGATGGGTGAAAGATCACTATATTTAGCCTCAGCCAGACACACGCTGCTGTCTGGTCATCTTCTTAATGCTCTTGCACTCCAGTCTTCCTCCCCACCCTACCCTTCTACCTCTAGCTCAGGGAATAGTGATCAAATTAAAACTAGCATTTTAGGAAAGGACTTGTCAATCACTTGTCCTTATTACCACTCTAGTGACTTCCCTCACCAAAATATCCCCCCTAGTCACCACTCCCTTATATGCTAGGTTCCCATTATTGCAAATAATGAATCTCCTGAAGTGATTCCGTTATTCTAATCAACACTGCATATTTCTATTGGGCTGGAACCAATAACCATATTTTACTTAATTATGACTTTGAATAGAATGAATTTTGAAAGTCTGTCACCACTTCAGGGGATTCATTATTTGGACTTATGTATGTGTAGTCTTCATCAATTGGAATATTAACTATTTGACTAGAAGGGCTACCTTGCTTTTTGAATTTGCACCCCTAGTACTCAGCATAAGGCCTGGCCGATAGTAAGCTGTAAGCACTTCATCAACCCTTTTTCATTCATTCAGCTGGCTCTTCTTCTTCCTACCCCCAACATTAGACAATCCCTTCTGCTTTAAGTCTCTTCCTTACAGAACTCTTCTGTTTCCATTTCTTTGACCACTGCCTCTATGGTTATGACTATTCCTCTCCAGCCGCGACCTTTCGCCTCAGTGCCAGTGTTGAATCTCTTGCAGTCTACCCGATCTTTCCACTAGTAAAGAAAACTGAGCTTCCTCTAATCCCCCTTCCACATGAAAGCTCTTCAAATACTGGGAAAAAATGATCACATTTCCCCCTAAAACTTCTCTCGTTCAACTGATGTGTCCTTGGTTTAACCTCTCCAGGCCTCGGTTTCCCTTGTCTGTAAAATGAAATAATTAGACTAGGTGATCTTTAAAGTTACTTTCCAGCCTAATTTTTCTATCCTTTTCCTATTTAGTTACATAATGACTCTCTTTTGATCTCCTAAGGGAAGGATAATTGTTGACTTGGGTTTTTTTGGGGGGGAGGCAATCAGGGTTAAGTGACTTGCCCAGTGTCACCCAGCTAGTAAGTGTCTGAGGTCAGATTTGAACTCAGGTCCTCTTGACTCCAGGGCAGGTGCTCTATCCACTGAGCCACCTAGCTGCCCCAATGATAGTTTTAAAGAGGCATGACAGTGTTGTAGAGGAAAAAGAGACCTTGGTTTGGAGACCTTGTTACTAGTGAAAGATCTGCCATTTACTTGTTGTGTGACCTTATGGAAGTCATTTAACTTTTATGCACCACTGTTTCCTCATCTGTAAATGAGGGTTTGGGACTAGATGATGCTAAGTTTCCTTCCAGCTCTGAGTCTACAAATTAAGATCCAAGTGAAAAATTCATGCCAACTGTTCCAGAATGAACTAAGAACTAGGAAAACAGAGCATAAAATGTCTACAACTGTATAAATGCAAAGAATGTTTTTTTAAAAAAGTGAATATTGGGTAATTAGCATGACCAAGCTTAGATCCCAAAAAGTTGAGAAAATGTACATCTTTCTCTTTTTTGCAAAGGTGAGGGACTATGAATGTGAAACATTACATATTTTCTCAGAATTATAAGATCCCAGCTCTAAAGCTAAAAGAGACCTCAGAGGTCATCTAATGCCACCCCCTCACTTTACAGTTGAGGAGACTGAGGCAGAGGGAGAGTAAATGAATCATTCCATATTACACAAGCAGTATGTGTTGGTTAGTTTTGCTGAACTGCTTTTTTCCACCTCTTTATTCTTTGTTACAAAGGATGGCAAAGGAACATATTTGAAAATGCACATGATATAAAAAACAACAGCTACCAATAAAAATTTAAAATTTGAGGGAAAAAAGTTGTTTTTTTTTTGATATGCACAAACAAGCAAAAAAAAAAAACCCTCTATGTTTCCTGGGCTTTATCTTCTGCCACTCCCCAGGCTTCTTACCTGGTTAAACAGACACGTACAAAGTCTGCTGCATTCTCTGAAAAGTGGTCTGGTAAAGAAGGCATTAGTCCTCTATGTGTGCCAATGTAAAACATTGCTGCCATCCTGTCCATAGAAGCCAAAGGTGGTTTCCCCGTGGCCATCTCAAATACAGTGCAGCCAATACTCCAGATGTCTGACTTCCTTCCATAACCAGATTCATTGATGACTTCGGGTGCCATCCAATATGGTGTCCCATGCATAGATTTAAGCATTTCACTGTGAGTGCCCGTTAAGCTCACATAGGCTAAACGCCTGGCACATCCAAAGTCAATCAGCTTTATTATTCCAGTTGGCATGAGCATAACATTATTCCCCTTGATATCTCTGTGCACCACACAGTTCTCATGCAAATAGGCTACACCTTGGAGAATTTGCTTGGTGTATTTGGAGAGCACCATCTCAGGCAGGGGTCCAAAACGGTTTATAATACTAGAAATGGAGCCACCGGGAACAAACTCCATGAAAATACTTACAAGGTTCTTTTCCAAGCATGTTCCCAAGTAGGTCACAATATTGACATGTTTCAGTACCTTGAGCAAGTCTACTTCTTCTTGTAGTTTCTGATATTCTCTCTCATTAGCGACTTGATCAGAGGTATCCAGAGCTACTTGTTTGACAGCTATGAGTTGGCCCTGACTTGTAAGACCACAGTATACCTAGAGGCAAGCCAAATATTAATCATTAAGTATGAATCACTCAATATTTGGCATTTTGATAAATCAAGTCAATAAGCATTTACTAAATACTTACTAAGTTCCAGGCACTGAACTCATCTCTCAGCCCTATCTTCCTTCCCCCTCAATCTCAAGTTAACCTGACTTCAAAGTCCTTAAGGAAAATGCAACTTAAATTATTCCAATGAATTAGAACTGGGACTGGGGTGGGAAGGAAAAATATCAGAAGAAATGTTGTCCCTTTTTTAATGGTTCTTATAAATACCATAGATAAAACTACCATCCAAATGCCCTATTAGATTTAGGGAATCCTGAAGGTTAAGAGGCTACTAAAAGACCCACTAGAATTTGCAATAGCTGTGCAAGAAGTCTCTCATCTATTTCTGCTAATTCAATAAGGGTTATTTACACAGTTGAAGACAGAGATCCATAAGACTCAATAAAACTCTGAATTTATGCAGAATATAAACTATTAGTAAATACTATAAACTTGCATACAGACGATGTCTATCTACTATGTATCTGTTATTCAGCTTATCGAGAGTTAGTTACTCACATCTCTAGTGTATTTAGCAAGAAGTAGGAAAAGGCAATTAAGAACCAGCAGTGTCAAATAAAGGAAACATTTCTCATCCTTATATAGCAAACATCAATTCAAGCTTTCCATGTTAGAGTGCTTTGAATATTCCCGTCCTGGATCTATCAACTGCTGGCACAGGTACGCATAAGAGATAAACAGGAAATCCTGAAGATGAGATCAAGAATGAAGCTGTGCCAGTCTTGTGACAGGGAATATCATTGCCCTTTGATGTAGTCAATTCAATTCAATAAGCACTTATTAAGTACCTACTACAGGGCACTAAGTTAGTTACTGGGGATGTAAAAACAAGAAAAGTTCTTCCCTCCAAGCTTATATTATGCTGGGCATTCTGTGCCCAAGACCTCAGATAGATGGTGAATTGCCAATTATTTTAAGGAATTATTAATTGTGACTAAGGGAATGTCACAAGGGGGTCCCTCTGGGTCAAGTGGAGTAGGGGCAGGCACACCCATTTCTTTGGATACTTTCCATAAAAGACCACAATGGCAGTAAGTGAGGAGTAATGCTTCAATTGCACTTTAATAAGGCACAGAAAGTACAGAGACAAACAGTCCTGCGGGCAAATGGGGTATAGAGGTGGGGTGTAGGGATGGGCAATGGTGTGATAGAGGTAAGCAGTGTAGGAAAGAGAATGAGGATGAGGAGGAGCAAAGAGAGTCATTTATATAACTGTGGATCAGAGTTGGAAGCACTCAGGCAGCGTGGACCCATAGCAGATTGGAGGAGTACTGGAGGGTGGGGAGGGAAGGGAGCAAAAGTTTGGGGTCTCATTTTTATAGAGTTACATAGACTAACTCTTATCCATGCTACCTTAAGGTTAGTTCATTAATATATCTACCTTATCTCAAAATTATTAGCAACATCTTAGGATTAGTTTGTTTACTGGTATTCTGCCAGTCTTACCAAGTATATCTGGAGCTTATTTGAGACTCATAGACCATGGTCAGTTAACTGGACAGAGAGGCCTTACAGTAAAGCCTAGCTGGCTTCCTTCCAGATTTAGTACATAGTCTCAGGATGTGGCCTTAGTTAATTCATAAGACAGTTTCCAGTGGCTCCTATGCTCCCCTAATTTATGAGACAGTTTGCAAGTAACAGTTATGCTTCCTTAATTTATAGGACAGTCTGTAAGTGACTTCTAGGCTTCCCTTTGCAATTTTACTTCCTACTATTGTTACTTCATATTAGCTACTTATAAACTTCCTATAGTAACTAGCAGGCGGGGTAGGAGTGAGGATGTCAGGGGAACCAGAACAAGATATAATTTAACACAGCCCAGTGAACAAGATTTTCAGAGATTCAAAGGGAATAAGAATTTGAGAGGACCTCAGACACACAAAAAAGAAAACCACTGAGCTGGCATCACTCTGTCACAATTGCAGCTTACCTAATTCTCTTGTATTCCTTCCTTTGAACTCAGTAGTCAGAGTAAAAGGACCAGTATAGGCCTGCACTGTTTATGATTTTATAAGCTGCTTCCAGATTTCCTCAGAATTGAAAAGCTGATATCATTGATAGGGTTTTTAACAGTAGTTGCTCTCTTCCTCCCTTCTTCCACAGATCAACTACCATGCTGTCCTGATTGTGGTAATACTATGATGAGGGGAGTTGGTTATCTGTTCCATATTTCACAAAGGTTAAAGATGCACTTTCTGAAATTTTCGCTTTGTGGGGCCCCAGTAGTCTGAGGTTTTCTCGTGTTAACTGTAACTCACCGTGCCGTACGCGCCCTTCCCCAGGATTTCACCTTTGGTCCATAGAACAGGCTCTTCATGCTTTAAACTGTTTTCAGAAAATGGCTTTTCATTCAAACTGAAGAAATGCTTTTCCTCATCAGAGAGCCAGAAATTGTTACTGTACTTCTGGCAAAGTAAAGTAAAAGAATAAGAAAACCATTACAACATGCAACTAGGACTGAAGCAGAGGGAGATGCCCCTCGCACACACACAGACTTTTGCTACAGGAACATGTTCACTGTGACAGACTTCTTTAAAATCCCTTGTGCTTTATTCTAATTCTTGCTATGCAGATTTCCCAAACAGTGACCAGGCAAGATTTTTCAAGGACATGCTTCTGATTTATTAAATGCATTTATTTTGAGTTACACTTTATTTAAGGGGTCCATTATCCGTTCGTGTTCCATGTATGAAAGGCAAAGCAATGTAGAAAGAACACTGATCAGAAGAGTTGGGTTCAAGGGACAGGTAGGTGGCGCAGTAGGGGGCAGCTAGGTGGCGCAGTGGATAGAGCACTGGCCCTGAAGTCAGGAGACCTGAGTTCAAATTTGGCCTCAGACTGAACATTTGACATGTGTGACCCTGGGCAAGTCACTTCACCCCAACTGCCTAAAAAAAAAAAAGGAAAAAAAAAAGAAGAGCTGGGTTCAAGTCCTTAATTTATGCTGGGCAAAAATCACTTCATTTCTAGCATGCTTTGCATCCTTGTCTAGACTAAGGGCTTCTTAAACTTTTTCCACTCGAGACCCCTTTTCATCTTTTGGCAGCGTTTGTTGGCGTTGCATGGCCAGAACGAAGGCTGAAGTCAAGTTGCATGATGCAACATGGGCAAGTGCTGCTAGAAACACCTCGAAAGAAGAAAAAGTGCTAGATTTGGACTCAGAAAATTTAAATTCAAGTCTGGCTTTGCCACTTATTGCCTGAGCTCTCCACTCTTCACCTACCTTACTCACTGGTCAGTCATTGGCAGCAAAAGGGGGCTCTGAAGCACTCATCCTCTTTCACCATATGCTAGGGATTGCTCTGAAATGGCTTTTAAGGAAGAAAGGAAATTTCTTGACATTCTAAGCTAATTAGCTATATGATAGAATTAGCTATGTTTCAGAATTTTAAAGTTAGAAGGGGGTTTTGTTGCTGTTGTTTTTGCTTTGTTTTGTTTTGCTTTTGTCCAGCTATTGCTAGATCCCCCAAATAAAAGGAACATCAAAATATGGACTTTTTGTTTCAGTACTTGCTTCATCATTTCATTCATGGAGGTGCATTACTATGTAAGATGGATATGGTGTGTAAATTGAGATTGTCAGTCACATCATCATTTTAGAGATGCTTTATCTTCATTTAGGATTCACCTCTAATTGGCAATGGCTCTTAACAAATTGGCCTCAAGATTCTTTTCCTCTCAACCTCATCAAGTTAATGATTTATGAAAAATGCTTAAATGCATAAGGGAAACTGTTACTTAAAAGAAACAGGCAGTGAATATATCACATATGATCATTCCATTATTTACTTAGTTGAGTTTTTGTTTGATTGAGACTGGATCTCCCTATCTTGCTAGGCCAGGAGTACAGACTCTATTCACAGTCTGACCCCACTGCTGATCAGCATGGAAACTTTGACCTCCTCCAGTTCTTAGGTAAGATGGTTCACCCCTCCTTAGGCAGCAGAATGGTGCTACCACCCCCTCCCAACGCCCATACTGGTACCAGACTTAGTATGGATATCTGATTGGCTTTAGTCCAACTGCAGCTCAGAATTTCTGAGCTCAATGGATCCACAACCCTCAACCTTCCCCATATCAGGAATTACAGGTATGTGTCACCACACACATCACGTTTAGTTTATAAATTCAGGTTTTCATTCAAGTTTTACAAAATGAAGTACAAAAATTAGAGAAGCAACTCAAAAAAAAAAACCAACCAAACTAAGATTCCTTCTAGTTCAAAATTCAGTAATAACACTTCCCTCTCTGGAATCTTAGTTTAAACTAATGTTACTAATTGGTAATCTAAGAGTATAGAAATACACATCCCAAGTGACCAGCATACACCATCTTCTCAGAAAAAAAGTGTTGTGTATTTGTTTTATGGTGTCCCATGACCTCTAGTGAGACAGCTAGATAGCACAGTGGATTGGGCAATAGACTTAGAATCAGGAAAAGCTGACTTCAAATGCAGCCTCGAATACTTAACCTATGTTACTCTGGGCAAGTCACTGAATTTCTTTCTGACTCAGTTTCCTCTTCTGTAAAATAGGATAATAATAGCACCTACCTCTCAGGATTGTTGTTAGGATAAAATATTTATAAAGTGCTTCACAAATCTCAAAGCACCATATACAAGCTAGCTTGACTATTACACAATATATACAATAGCCTGACTATTCTAGAATGTTAGCCCAAAATTATATGAACCAAATTACGATCTTTTCTTTGTTCAAGATTTCTATAAATGTTACCTTAAATCTTGGGGAAGAGTCATGTTGGAAGACACTGGGGACTATGGCAGTTTGGATATCTCTCCCTCCAAGTTAGAAATAGCTTGGATATGGATTAATGTTAAATTCAATAAAATTGTTTCTGGCAGACTTGAGCCTAATCATAGAGTACAGTATGAGTATTAATATTTTTTTCAACACTACCTATGTCCTCTGAACTCCTAAAGCACTTACTCAGTAATCATTCAGCAACTAATCCCAAGGTGTCTTGTAGTGTCTCTACTACTTCTATAACTAGTATAACTAAGGCCCAGTTAGTGAGAATTAGTGAGAAGTCCCTGAAATGGTCTCAAAATCATACTGCATAGTTAAAACTCTGACTACTGCAAATTTGAATGCATTTCAGGGGATTCTCACTAATCAGGACCTGGCTGTAGTTGTTTATCTCTTGTACTATTATTCATATTTTCACTAAATTTCTTTTTTTAAATGCTTGAGGGCAGGGACTAGACTTATATTCCAAACAAAAGCTATATGCCTTACATATAATAAATACTTGGTAAATATTTGTTGATTGATCAAACATATTAATGCTTTAACAATTAGATATGCTGTTGAATAAAATCATAGTCTATTCACAGTGACATTTGGAATTTCATTTCCGAGCAATGGTATACCTGGATTTTGAGTCTTGTTGTTTCTTTTTCAAGGTCTTGGAAAGTATTTCCCGTTCCAGTGATGATTGGGTTTTGTGTTTCAGCATGTGTGTCATTTGTCACCATTTGCCAGGAGTTTGTGTCTTTCTCATCAAGAGCTAATAGTTCTGCTGCTAGACAACCTAGTAATTCATCGGTCACTTGTTCATTATTTTCAGAGTCCAGAGTATCCATAGAAATTGAACTTGTAACACTTAAAGTTTTTTCAGCATTCTCATATGTCATTGACTTATTTGCTACACTGCTGTCTTCCATGGAATATATCCAGTTTGGGCTTAAAGGTGGCTGAGAAGAGGCACTTTTTGGTCTTTCTGGGAAAGAGAAAGAAGTCATTGCTTGAAGTTCACTGGAAACTCTGTCAGCTGTTGGGGTCTCAGAAAAAGTCTGGCTGACTTTCAGATTTTCAAGAGTCTCCATATCAAATCTTTCTTGTAATACGGACTCAAGGGCATTCTCCTGACTTAGCCTTAACCAGATATTCACTGAAGTTACAGATTTGGTCTGATGCTTCTCTTCAAGCTCATGCAGATCTCTGAGGCTTGTGGCAAGTATCTCATTGGGGGAATGATCTTCATCATTTAAGGATTGTTCCACAGAAACTTTTTCTACACTGGACACATCTGAGCTAGGGGTGGATTCATTCTGTTTTCTGTATGCATCAAGGTCCTCTGGAGACTGAATGGAGTTAAGGAGCTGAGCTCCTTCTTTACAAAAGGGAGAGGTATTTCCTGAAGATTTCATATGCCAATCAGGTTCTGAAATTACATCATTTTCCATATTTTCTATGACATCTGCTGTTAACTTGTGGTTTTTTTCTTTTGAAATTAAATTTTTGTGCTTTTGTTTAATGCCAAGAGAACTTTTTGGAGGTTTTGTATGTCCCTTTTTCTGGGAAATCCTTACTCTGCCATTGCTATTTCTTTCATTATGTGTGGAACGACATTTGTTTGAAAGACATCTTCCAGCTGGAGCAGAACTTGTTTCCCTGTAGAATTTGTTTTCCTGACGTCCAGCTTCTCTGACATGACAATATACAGGAGTCCCAAACATTTCATAAATTCCTGGTCCTTTATCAGTTGAATTGATTTCCTTGAACATATCACTATATTTCAGGTCCAAAAAATTAAATTTTGACTTTGCTGGAGGAACAGAAACAGGAGCAGTAGTCTTTTTTGGTTCAGAATTTTTGCAGATACAGGGAAATCCTTGCTTTTGGGGTTTCAAAGCATGGAAGTCTGGTAGTTTCTCCTCTGTGTGTGGCCCTCTTCTTTGAAGTTTGGTTGATTGTCTGGGCTTGGACTCATCAAGCCCTAATGTGGGAAACACTTGCCTTTTCATGCTTGCTTTCTGAACAGTAGGTTTGATGGAACCCTCGATAGAAACTGGGTGGCTCTGAGATGTCCTGCTGTTTATCTTTGTCTTTGAGTCCAATTTCTTCCTGAATGTCTTCATCCTACATTTGTCATTTTCTTGGTGAGCAAGTCTATGGAAGGTGTTGCTATTGCTATGAAGAGTAGTACTCTTTCTCTTTGAGAGACCTTGTTTGGCCATGGCTGGTTCCCTGGGACATTCATTTCCAGGAAAAGTAATGCAGACCAGAGGTACCATTTCACTCATTTCTGTTCCTGTTGTTTCTGATCCTGCTATTTTTATGGATGTCTCTCTGCCCATGTGGCTTTTAGATAGTTTTGCGGTGGGGTCAGGAGTGTTAACAATGGGAAGGGTTGTAAAGACAAGTTCTGAAATATGATTTTGCTCACTTGTCTCATTTGTATGCCCTGATGTACTCTTCAGATTGGGAAGTTCATTTCCAGAACCTTCACTCTGGTCTTGTGTCATTATTGAAGGGTTAACTTCTTGGAGCTTGGTTTGAGTGGCATATATCATTCCTTGATCTTGTTCATGATTGTTCCTACTCCTTAAGCTATGCTGATTTCTTGATGTCATACAATGAGTATTTCCCCCTTCAGTATCTTTTATTCCACCATCATGGGAATCAATCTCTTTGTCCTTGGCAACGTAGTCTTCTTTTAAAATGTCCTCATTCTCGAAGGACGCCTGCAGCAGACCTTTTTCAAAGTGAGAGTCTTCAAGTTGGACTCCATCTTCAGCTTTCCTATGTTTTAGATTTCCTTGCCTTTCCAGATGCTCTCTCAAGCCCTCACCTAATGAATGCCAATGATCCTTCTGAAAAGAGCACATATTCCTAGACCAAATGGAATTGTAACTGTCAGATGTTCTGAGACTATGGTCCACAAAAACTTTAGACTGGGTTTGTTGCAATTTATTTGGTAACTGAAAGGCATCGGATGGACTGGTGGGTTCTATGAGACCAGGCATAGGATATATGGTGCTTGTAATATGTCTTTCTGTCTTTTTAAGAAACTTCTTGTTTTCTAGAAGAACAAGTTGATTTGACCCCATAGGCAACAATGATAGTTGTGGTAAGGGAAACTAGAAGAAAAGAGTGAAAATTTAGATGAATATTAGAATGTTAAATGACAATAATTATATATTCCGTGGTCCTAAGTTAACACTAACGAGAATGTTCTTCGATCAGTGCCGCCTTCTAGAATGGTGGGACAATGGCCAAAACACAAGGATCTACAACAGATTCCAGTTTTTATAATTGGAATCTCATTTCCAGCAATCTTTAAGTATTTTTGAGAATAAAAAGGAAAATTAATTGATTTGGTTTTATTTTTAAAGGACCAGGCTTATCTTAAGATTCATAGCTTTTCATATTTGAACAACGAATGTCTTATTAGATAAGACTTTTTTTTTTAAGAACAAGAGACACATAACTTCTTCTTATCTGAATTTTCATAATAATTGATCCAACTCTTTGGAATTCTTCATTTGATTAATTCAAAATTACTTTATTCTCATGTTGTAACATTGATCATCATGAGACTTCCAACGTACATTAGAATGCTGATGATGAATGCTTATCTAGGTGAGTCATAGCTAGATGAGTGTCTTAGAAATATGACATCCCTGATGTCTAAAATTAGTCACCACAGGTGATGTAAAATAGACAGACCCTTGTCTTTCATCCAATTTCAAGTTGAGCTGGCTTTTGTTCTTTGCCTCCAGAGGCCAGTATAACCTAATGCAAGAAATCTATGTGCATGGCCTATAATACATAGATAGGAAAACAGTCTCTAAAAAGACTTATAAAGTTTATTCTTCTTGTCTTTTCATTCTCTGGGCAGTGTGCAGATTCCATAGTTTATTGTGCTAGCATTTTCACAGTTACACACAGGAAAACATAGCTAGCTAATTTGGGGCTTATGTTACTTAATAGTTCTTTCTAATAATCCCTGCAGGTACCTGTGTATGAGGAGAACGGAAGGACTGTAACATGAATACAGGAATTAGAAAGAAAAGAAGTCACATAATCTTTTTTGGGTATATTTTCTTACCTTTAAATTAGAATTTTCTTCCATCTCAAAGAGATGGCTGAAGAATAAATGAGGTATCGAGTCACATTTGCCCAGTGTCTGAATTCTTCCTTGACAGCACATATCAGCTTTTAGGACAGAGAATCAGCCTCAAAGCCAGGTAGATCAAGGTCTGTCTCAGTTCCGACACGTGCTGACTTTATGACCCTGGGCAAGTCACTGGAGCTTCTCAGGGCTCTAGGCCAATGGTGTCCAGTTGAAATAAAAATTCCTTGCCATATTGCCTTAGACTACCACAAGTTAACATTATCTATGTAGAATTGTATTTTTATTTATTTTTGTTAAACCTTTCTCAATTACATTTTTCTGGTTCTTGCTGTAATCTAGAGTTTTGAAGGCTCTTTATGGTCAATGGGCCTAGTTTACCATCTCTATTCTAGGCATCTGTCTAAGACTATAAAGCGCAGAGGAGGTGCTGACTTACTGTGGTAGAGGGAGAATCCTCATCTGTGAGTAATCTCATTCTATTCCATCTTCTCTAGCAAATTGCTCCCTCTATCATCCCTACTCCATCACTAATCTTCAAGCTCTCTCCATCTACTTGCCTAATACCTAAGCCTATGTTTCACAAATTCTAAAAAAGCCAAAAAACCAAACCAAAACAAAACAAAAACAAAAAAAAAAAACACTCACTTGACCCATCCATCCCAGCTAGCTATCATCCTATATCTATCTTCCCTTGCATGATTAAACTTGAGAAGACCATCTATAACTGGTATCTCCATTTTCACTTTTTTCTTAACTCTGCAGTTCTAACTTCATCAATCAATGAAGTTCTGTCTCTAAAGTTACTAATAATATCTTAATTGCCAGATCTAATAGGATTTTCTTAATCCTCATCTTTCTTAATCTCTTTGCAGCCTTCAACACTGTCAATCACACTCTCCTCTCTAGGTTTCCATGACACTAGTCTATCCCTGTTCTGCTTGGTTGAACACTCAATTTCCTTTGCTGAATCTTCATCCAGGTCCTACCAGTTAACATTGAGTGTCTCCCAAGGCTGTGTCTTGAGCCCTCTTCTCTTCTTCCTCTCTACTATCTCACTTGATGATCTCATCAACTCCCAGAGATTCAATTATCATCTCTATGCAGATGATTCTCCAATCTATGTATAAAGCCTTAACATCTCTTTTGACCTCTAGTCTCATCTCCAATGGCCTATTGAATATCTTGAACTGGATCACCTGTAGATATCAGTCCAAAACTGAACTAATTTTTCCCTTCAAACCATCTCTTCTTCCAAACTTCCATATTGCTGTTGAAGGTACTACCATCATCCTAGTCACCCAGGCTTACAAGCTAGGTGTCATACAAGAACGCTTACTCTCTCTCTCACTCCCCCCACCCCTTCCATCCAATGAGTTGAATCCTATCATTTCTACCTTTGTAACATCTTCTCTTTTCTGCCACTGTCACTACACCAGTGCTGGCCCGCATCACCTCACACCTGATCTTTCTGCAATAGCTTGCTGGCTAATCTCCCTGCCACTCCAGTCCATCCATCACACAACTGCCAAGTTGATCTTCCTTACACACAAGTCTGACCATGTTACCCTGCCCCTCATTCCATAAACTGGTGGCTCCCTATTACCTCCAAGATCAAATATAAGCCAGTATTTTGTTCAAAGCCCACCATAACCTCCTACCTTTCCAGTCCTCTTACACCTTGCTTCCTTCTGCATACTCTATGCTCTAGTGACACCAGCCCCCTTGTGGTTCCTCACCTAGGACACTCCATCTCTCACTGGCATTTCCTCTGGCTGTTCCCTATGTCTGGAATTCTCTCCCTTCTCATCGATCTTTCCTAGTCTCTCTGGCTTCCTACAAGTTCTAATTAAAGTCCTACCTTTCCCAAGGAGAATTCCCCAGTCCCCTTCAATGCTAGTGTCTTTCCTCTAAGATTTATAACATATATACGTATGTATGTATACATCTTGTTTGTATGTAGCTGTTTACATTTTATCTCCTCCACTAGACTGTGAGCTCCTTGAGAAGTAGAGATTGTCTTTTACTTTTCTTTGTTTGTATGCCTAGCACTTGGCACAATGCCTAGCACATAGTAGGTACTTAATAAATTCTTATTGACTGAGAGTTCCCTCTCGAGTTTTATTTCATTATAAACTCTATTGTAGTGAAATCACAGGTCCAATCCCCATCCTTATGCCTTTTCTAGACTAGTATTTCATTTTCCTTCAGGACACTAACTGATGATATACTTGGAAGAGTTAAAGTAGCCTTTTAAAAAGACTTTAAATAATACCAGCAAGGAGTTTAAACCTAGGGAAAATCTAGTTTCATATACCTCTGCTGAAAATTATTTGAATTCTAGGCACTGTAATAATGAAGCAAACCTATTGCTGTAATTTATTATATGGAAGAGACTTGAAAATTGAGACAAGAAAATGAAAAAGATTAACAGCAAATACCACCCAATATCTCCTTAGAAAGAAATAATTTCAGGAAATCTAAAGACTAAATTTTCAGTTATTGAATAGGACTCTTAGCTAGAAAAGGTTCTTTAACTTCTATTTTTGTTTTTATTTCAATTATTGTAAAGTAACATCTTACCTCAGTTCTTTGGCTACTGAGTTTGATAGAAGGTATGGTAAAACCTTTAAAAAAAAAGATTAATAACATATTGAGTACTCCTATAGTGAAGCTGAAATCAAATTGCTTAGGGTGTTGGTAAGGAGGAGGATGTTTCTGACCAAGGTTTATTGGGGAAGAGCATGAAAGTTAAGTATGATACTTACTCCATGGAAGTATTGTATTGGATCATAGATTCAGAGCTGGAAAAGATGTTATTCCAGGGCCCTCATTCAACAGATGAGAAAATTGTGGCCCAAAGAAATAAAATGACTTGTCCAAAGTTGTAGAGATTGTAAGTGGCAGTCAGGATATGAACCCAGGTCCCCTGGCTTCAAATTCAGAACTCATTTCACAGTGCCACAATGGGGCTTTAATTGTATTCTCAACTCAATCCCTGTGTATCATGTTTCTAGGTGAGCCATGTGCCTTTCCTCTGTACCTGATTCACACTTAGAGTAGGGGTTTGCTGAAACCAGCTTATAAGAGTCACTTGTTAAATTTTCAGTGTGAGCATGAATACGTCAGAAATTGGCAAATGCCACAAATTAAGGTTTGCTTTATTGTTTTATTGAATGTCTAGACTTAAGAAAGTAATGGAGAAAATGTTAATAATAAAAATTAAACTTAAAAGTTTGTTGTGCATACATTCCCTTCATAAACACCTCCCCCCCAGAAAGCCAGTTGTTAAACGTTTACCACCATACCACTGCTAGGAGTACTTTTTTATTTTAATATAAAATTTAAGGGGATCTCATAAACTGGAGGTGAGTTGCAGTGAAGGGTTATTGGCCCTGCAAGTAAGGCAGGCTTAAAAAGACGAGGTAGTAGAAAGAACACTAGGCTCTCATCTGGACTCTAGAAAAGAGGCAGTAGGCCTCTTCATCACAATGAAGTGGTGAAACTCATGATCTGCCAGCTGAGATTACCTTTCTAACCATATTCCACTGATCCTTGTGATGGGCTTTTCTTGTTGCCAAACTCTAAACTCTATTTTCCCATAAAACTGAGGCTTTATTGCAGGTCTTTCACCAATTCAACAGTCTCCTAATGCAGTGCCATCATTACTGCACTTAGATCTATATGTGCTCCCCAGCATCTATTATGTACCAAGAATTTCCATCTCTTTGACATATTGGCACTTTTCCAACTTGGCAAATAGCTGTACTAACATAGCTACTGGATGACAGCCCAGACAAATTAGATGTATTTGGCATGGTCACAGGAATAAATGAGGAAATCATTAAGATAGACCACCACCTCCTTCTCTAACATAGGCCCTGAAATAATAAATGCATGAACTTCTAAAAAAAAGTTCTTTAGGGGCATTGCACAAGTTGAAGTGCATAGTCCAGTATTAATTCAGGGAAAGCAGGTTTGAAAGTCTATCCTACATTCATTTCCTTTTTGTGTTTAGATCAGATAGGTCTATCAAATCTGACTTTTCCAGCATTCTGTTCAGAACTCTAAATTTCTTCTTATTTATCTTTTAATAAAATTTATCAAATTATGAATGAGGGACATTTAAATAATTTATAATTATTGTCTTACTATTTAGGTATTTTTGTATTTTTGCTAGTTTTTCCTTTAAGTACTTAGGTAAGGTGATTTAGGGAACATCTATATCTATATATTTATATTTCATATCGATATTATTTCTGACAGGGAGTCAGGTGACTGTATTGTATATATTGTCAGATGCAATCACTGTATCAGATGTTTTTACAAATAGTTTTAACTATTTTATTTATTAGAAAAGAGAGCTCAATCTGGAATAGAGGGGAGAATTTCACCCTTCCTTCTCCCCTCCCCAGAAATAACTGTGATGTTAATACAAAAGGCATCAATAAGGCATGGTTTAGATAGATATGGATATAGATATATAAATTATTTCATTATCTGTGGTTGCTTTAAGTATAATGTAGTTTCCCTGTTTGTCTCTCTTGACAGTATCTATTTTTACTGGTGCCTTATCTAAAATCATAATGGAAATTCCTCCTTTTTTGGATTTGCCTGAAGCATAATAAATTTTATTCCAACCACTCATTTTAACTTTGTATGTCTTTATGTTTTATTTATGGTTCTTGTATGCAGCAAAGTATTGAGTTCTATAATCCATTCTGCCATTTTCTTCTGTTTTATGGATATTTAGTCCACCAACATTCACAATTATAATTATTGTTGATACTTTATCAAATTCTATTAAATTACTTTTTTTAATCAGCACTAGATATTTGCAGTTTGTTTGCTTGCAACAATATGATATCACTCTCCTCCCACAAATACTTCCCAGACTCTATTGTTCAGCCTTAAACTCAGATTTGTTGATTCTTCTTTTGTTCTGTTTTCATCTCTGTCTCTGTCTCTCTGTCTTTGTGTCTCTATCTCTCTGTTTGTGTCTGTCTCTCTGCTTCTGTCTCTGTATCTCTTTGTTTCTATCAGTCTTTCTCTCTCTCTCTCTCTCTCTCCCAATCTAGATTAGAATATGGATCAGACTTTCCGTATCCCTCCCCAATACCCCACATTTTCATTTCATGATCATCTCTAGCACCCCATTCCAACAAATATTCATTCAGTTAATCCTGTTTCTAAGAGATTTTAGGATATGATTTACCCATACATCCTCTCTGTTTTCTCAGTGATACAAGGTAAGATGTCTAAAATTTAGTAGTCTTGTCACCACTTTAGCCCAGTCTTGATAAGAGTGTGGATCTGGGTTACCCTTACTCTTTCCATCTCTATCTCTTTGTGGAGTTGCACAGTACCAGAAATATTATTTCAAGTCTTCCTTACTCCTCTTTTCTCTCCATTAAGGTACCTTTTGTGCTCCTTTTCTTAAATATTTTTTCTCAATGACTTCAGACAAGAGGTATCTTTTAAAAATAGCTTTGTTTTCTCTTTGAAGGATATAAACATTGATTTATAATACATTAGATCTTTGCTTATTATGTGGACTTGTTTACTATATCAAGTATTTTTGGATTGATGAATATGAATATCAAAATGACATGTTCCGTTATGGTCTCTTCAGGAGAAATGATTAAAATTTCTCTCTTTTTTTTTTTTTTTTTTTACTGAAAAGTATCTTTTTCATTGATGCCTAAGCTTAAGTATGCATGATATATTATTTTAGGGCACAAATTTATTTTCTCTGTTTTCATTTCATTTCTATGTTTCAGAACATTATATTCCAGATTTTTCATTTCTTTCTTTTGGTATACAAATAGTTTTGTGAGATTCAGGTTGTTTTTTCTTGATTTATGAAGGTCCTGATGCTCCTAATTGCTTCGTTTGTGTGTGTGTGTGTGTGTGTGTGTGTGTGTGTGTTTAATGCTGAAGCTATGGAATTTGGTTACTACATTTCTAAAGGAAGTGAATTTAGGGCTCATCTCCATTAGAATACTGTGGATTCTACAAATCTCTGATTTCTTCTGCCACTGCTGCCCTAGTACCATGATCCTTTATTTTCAGTCCTGCCACTCATGTGCTAACTCTATGCTCCCTCCCCTTCACAACTTCTTTATAATTCTTTCTCACAGAACTATCTTCAAATCAATACCACCATTGCCTCTAGAAAGGACATATTGATTGAATTCCTATTGTTCCACTCCCCGTCTCTGATATCCCAGACCAACACACCCTTTCTTGGTCACTGTTCTCTTTTATGTGCCGTTTCTTTCCATGAGGGAGAGGAGTTTCTTGAAGTCAGGATACATTTGTTTCCTGGTATTAGGCATGCTTAACGAACGCTTTTTCATTTCTTTATTCATTCATTATTTTTCTTTGTTCTTAGAGAGCTCAAATTTCTATAATTTCTGCCTTTAATTCTTTTATCAAGCTTCTAAACCATTACTGACATTCTTGCTCTTGTCTCATTATCGTTTCTGAGGCTCTAATTGTTATGTTGGAATATTATCTCTCTTTTCTGGGAGTTTCACTTCACTTTATTTTACCCCATATTCATTCTTTTTGATATTTGCTGGTTCTAGAGAAAAAGCTCTGGCTTGGGGTCTGGTAGTGGGGTTAACATGAACATAGCAAACAACTGTTAACCAGCAATGCCTCCAGAAGTCCTGGAAGTGAATTTCCCCAAGTTCCGCACAATGGCCAAAATATGCAATAGCATCCAATAATGCACAGGACTAATAAGGAGAGTAATGAAAGGATTATGCTGAGGCTGAATATGTTATAATATTTCCTTCCTTCCAGACTTGCACAGTTTTGCTCTCCTGTTTCGGTAACAGGTAAAGACTAGAATAGATACTCAACGATCATTTTGATTGCCAAAGGATTGTTAAGGTGATTGCTTGCTCACCCCAAGAAAATAATAAGTTCAAAGTGATCTCCAAGTTCACCATAACACAGATCCACAATATCCAGTGATTTGGAAGTTTGAATTCAAGAGTCATCCCACCAAACTCCAAAAACTACCCCCAAATTGTCCTTTAATAATTAATTTAAATTAATTTAATTAAGTGGACAGCTTTGCAGAAAAGCCATAAAACTGGATATAACCCCTGAAATCAAAAGCAGGATTCAATGTGAGCACATTGGGGAGATGGGTGGCTCCCTCCAGTTAGACTAATTCGTCACATGTAGGCATGGCCAAGTATCTCAAAAAGGTGTTTGTTTTTTCGTTTTTGTTTTTGTTTTGTTTTTAAGGTAGGAACCATGCCAAGATTGATTTGGAGTCTGAAAGAAAACTGGCATAACCTATCTACCTTAGCCCTTTTCTCCCTACTGAAGCTGGTAGATCTAGAAGTTGGCAATAGCAGACCAAGGTGGGGGTGTTAGAGGACTTTAGAGTTCCTGAAAGAATGCCTCTACACTATTCAACAGGGGACTGTTTTCCATGAGGTAGAGGGCAGTTCAACAGGTGGCCCGTCCCAGACAAAGGACAGAGATCAGGGGTTTCTCCACAAACTATTTGTGTTGTTATTATGTTCTGTACTCTAGGTCACCCTGTACTCCAGGATATGCTATCCTGAGCAGATCTTACTGTTTTCAGTGTAGATTACTCTCTGTTAGTATATGCTTTGTGAGAGTGGGCACCAGGAACCATTCATAGCACTACCAACCCAATCTGCCCCACCCCACACACAGTCTCTAGTCTCATTCCTTTTGATCTTACACTGACTCCCAAACTTAGAACTAAGCTCCCAAGTGCCACATTTAGAATAACACAGAGTGATTCTTTCACTTTCTAATCTTACAAACATACTGTCAGAACACATAGGCCCATTCCCTAATCTCCCTCAAAGACACAGATTCCACATCCCCATTGCACTTGCTGACCCTCCTTCCACATTATGGCTAATTCCAGGCTGTCCTCTCAAACCACCAATCAACCTGGACAGCTCTGAGGCTGCTTCCTGACACAAAAGAGCATTGGATTTAGAGTCAGAGGACTTGGATTCAAATTCTGGCTCTGCCACATTCTACCTGCACAGCTTTCTGCAAACTGCTTAACCTATTTGGGCCTCTGTTGTTGTTCAGTCTTTCAATCATTCTAGCTCTTCATGACCCCACTTGGGGTTTCTTGGCAAAGATGCTGGAGTGGTTTGCCAGTTTCTCTTCCAGCTCATTTTACAGACGACAAACTGAAGTAAACAGGGTTAAGTGACTTGCCCAAGGTCACACAGCTAGTTGGGTGTCTGAGGCTAGATTTGAACTGAGAAAGATAAGTGTTCTTGATTCCAAACCCAGGGTTCCATCCTAGCACCACCTAGCTTCCCTACAGGCCTCCATTTCTTCATCTATAAAATCCAGGGATTGGACTTGAAGAACTCTTAGTTTCCATTCAACTCCAAATCTATCACTGACCATGACTAAACACCTCTGTAAAACTGCAGGCACCTACTTCCTCTTGTATTCTCACTGATAAGAGAGAGAGATAGGAAGGAAATCCTCCACAATTCATGTTTCTTTTCTTCTGTTAGTCCCTTAGCATCCTACAGTCCTGAAACATTAAGCAAGAAACTTCGGAGGTCCTCTGGCCAGCTGGTAGAAGAATTTGTGAGATTCATTGTGTTTTTTCATGGCTCACCTAGAACAGAGCCAATATATATCAATGATTGGAGAAATCTCCAGGCAAAGGAAGGGGAGTGTCTGCCTGGGTCTGAGGAGGCAGGTTCTAAGTTGGGAGGAGAGCAAGGGTAAATTGGAAAGCCAGGCTGGATTTCTACCAATGTATTTCAAGTGCCCATCAAAGGACTGAGACAAAGTGGAAAACCACTTGCCTTGCAGCAATTTAGAACCAGGAGATTCTATATGAAATTAAGAAACTCAAATTAAAAGAATGTCAAAGAGTTGACTATCAAATGACTCAACCAATTCCTCTAAAGCTTTGGTCTTTTTATTTGTGTTTCCTTCTCCTTACTGTCACAAAAATGCTAGCCAGGTCATAGATGGGGTCTTCCAAGCTTCCTTCTGACTTAGCAGAGATGGCTTAGGTCCCTGGACTGATATTTCTGAAATTGGTTCTTATATCACAGAGTTAATTTGTTGAAAGGAGGGAGAACAAGAGAGCCAGGGGAAATCTTTTTTTTGTCAAAGAGAATGTAGCCCTAGGGAAGCTGATTATCTGACTGGCTTTCCCAGTGTGTCTGTATTTGTATTACCCTTTCTTGGCTCTTTCTAGAGAAAGTCTCATGTACTGGGCTCTTAAGCTGCTGGAAGTCTTTTTTTAAAAAAATTATTGATATTTCTTATTTTTATATCACCTTCATTTCCCAATATAGCTTTCCATAATGCCTCTCTACCTGCCAAGATTGTGGGTCCTAACATTATGTGCCTGCCTATAAAATGTAGTTTTCACTATATTAGCCAAATATAAATACTATGGGTTTCAAAGACTGCCTAAGGCTATGATGGATGGAATATTATGCCTGCAATCTCTATTAGAACTATATTCCTCAGTATTCTCTAATAAAGAGCTTGGGAAATACTTTAGGCATCAAAAAGCTGCTGGTTCTTTTATGACATCTAGATATCATCACTGTTTTGTGCTCTCCTTGTGCTACTATATGCTAATTTACGGATCTACTTTAAGATTTTTCAGCAGACTATTTATAATTTCATGGGTTGCTATGAAACTGTGAATTGGCTACTTAAAAATCCTTAAGATCAGAAAAGAAGTGGGCTGATCACAGGGCAAGGGTAAGGGATAACTGATGGACAGTCCACGTCCTCTACTGGTATCCTCACAATGTTAAGAGAACAGAAAGAAGGTGCAAAAGGGGTCGTAGCTAGCTTCCTTGTTCTCTCTCAGTCATCCAGCTCTCCCCTATAAGGGTAAAAATATTGGAGGGCATTGACAAAAGTCACACAAGAGGGACAGGGATGAATAACCATAATTTGAATCATTGGAGAGAATATTCACACTGATGAACTTACAGATCCATTTGAAAATTTACACTATAAGGAAGGTAACCATTAAAGGAAGATAAAATTGTTGTATGTAGTTTATAACTTTATATATCTATGTAACAGGTTTTTATCATCCACCCCATAGCGTATGTGCAGATATTCTCTATCTGCTTTTAGCTAGGTATGACTCATCAACAAAGTCATTGGGTTGAGTTCTTCCATTAGTTACTTGGTCAGAAAGGATGATAATGCAAGACGTCACACCTAATAGAAGAGACTGCTTTCAGCTGGCAGGTTGGAGGTACTTCAAGAAAACAAGATAAGCCTCCAATTGTGGGGTGGAGAAAGGAAGGGTCCCTTCTTACCCCAGCAAAATGACAAGGCAGGGGCCTTCCAGGTCTTTACTCATCTTTGGAACAATGGACTGAACCAGCCAGGCTTATACTAGAGGTCCTTGGCTATCTTGCCTCTCCTTTTGTGTTTCCTAGCTTCTAGCATAGACTCTGTGGACATAGCAAGGCCCTGGAAGGCCTACAAGTGCTGGTAATAAAAATGGCATCTACCAGAATGGTTGCAACAATGGTAGCATAATTGGATCTGTGATGCAAAAACATTGTTTTCAGAAAGGGAGGCCTCCAGAATGAAAATCCTCTTTGGTGTTTGATTAATTATGTGCTCAGTGGAGGTGAAATGTTAACTGGCTAATTAGCAACCTTGCACAAAACCTGTCTAGATCTCAATAAAGCTTGAATATTAGCCTTCTAACTGATTTTTAATAGTAATGATAAGTACCATATTCTGTTCTAATAATTGTATGTTTATTGCTTAGCATTCCCTTTTCTGTGTTGAAATATAAATTCCCTGTTCCATAACAGATGTGTATTTGTATATTGGGTACCTTTTAAACTTTTCTCTTTGCTAGGAAAAACCTTTAGACGATTTCTAAAATTGGCAACTCTTTTATTAACAACTTTCTGGTGCGGAGAAGAGGCAATGTATATGAGAATTGGGGATCCTATTTCCCCATTGAGAAATCAGACTATCCCCAGAGCAAAACCAAGATGAAAGAAAAAGGACAGGCATCAGCACAGTTTGACAGGCCCTGTGGCCTTAGCCAAGCAGTGCCAATCTAGCCCTTCTGCTAGATTTATTTGAAATGTTTTAAACTATTGTTCAGAAGAATTCATTGTATGATATTTGCAAAAATATCTAGGCTATTTAGATTCAAACAGCCTACATATCACAGAAAGTAAACTCATTTGTCACATTATCAACAAAACATTTGGAATGGGCATATCACCAAACTTACCATTAGCTTTAGTGTGTTGAATCTTTGCCTTCATAAACTGGAAGGTATTCTTACCCGTTACAGACTTGGAAATGTTAGGCTCTGAGCAATGTCTTGGCACCAGAAAACCAAAGTCACCACCATGCAGCTGTTCCAAGCTTTCCTCTTTCTTGAGAAGGAAAGGTAACATAGTCTGTTGCCTCATTTTGAATTCCACCATCTCAGTTTCATTTGGAAGAGAAATGGAGCGCTCACTTGGCCACTTTCTGTGCACTGATGTCTGACTAAGAGGGAAAACAAAACCTCATTCAGAAATTATCTCCCCATCTTCTAGGTCTTCAATGTAATGGTGTTTTTAGCTCAGGAACCTATCACATAGAGGCCAGGTAATTGACAAGTTGGGAAGCATGTCCAGATTGTGCTGCTTGCTGGAAGTGAACAGTGATGTGTTCCAATGCCTAACTTGGCTAGAGAAGGCCATAGAAAGTAGAATCTCTCAATTCAATTCAACCAACATTTATCTAGCACCTACCATGTACAATGTAAGGTGCTAGGCACTAGAAATGTAAAGGGGAGGGAGAGGAAAGAAATAAGTATTAATATAGCACCCACTACATCCCAGACACTGTGCTAGGCAATTTTTACGAACATTATCTCATTTAATCCTTACAACAATCCTGAGAGACAGGTGTTATTATTGTCCTGTTGTATAGTTGAAGAAACTGAGGCAAACAGAGGTTAAGTGATTTGCCCAAGGTCCCACAACTAGTAAGTCTCTAAGGCTAGATTTGAACTTGTCTTCCTGACCCCAGGCCCAAGTTCTATCCACAGTGCCACTGCCTGCCTCTGAAGTTGAAAATGGAACTGTCTATTGTGCTTAAAATCTAGTAGGGAGATGAATGTCAGATAAATAACTATAATGCAAGATTCAGGGAGGGAAAGATTACTTTTACTTGAGGGAACCATAGAAGGGTCCAAGAAAGAGATGGATTTGAACTTAATCTTCAAGAATAAGAAAAATTGGGGGGAGGGGGTGATCTAAGATGGCAAATTATAGGCAATACAGATGAACTCTCTCAACATTCTCCTCCAAACTACTTTAAAATAATGCCTCAAATCAAATTTTGGAGCAGCAGAGCCAACAAAAGGTCAGGGTGAGACATTTTTCTAGACTAAGAAAACTTAGGAGGTCAGCAGAAGAAGTCTGTGACACCAGGATGGAGGCTTATTTAGAACCCACACATGTGACAGCTGCAGCCAAAGGAGCAGCTTTAGGAGTTCTCACCGCAGAGAGAGTAAGCAAGTTGAACAACTGGTGAAAAAAGAGATCACAGGGAACCTCTTGCTGACATTGGGTACAGCTGGCACTGACTGGCAACTCTATTGCCCATATACATTTCTGAGTTGTAGTTCCAGGATAGAGAGAGAGCAGGGACCCTGGTCAGTTTTGAGGCAAAAAGGGGGTGCTAATGCTTGTGGCTGTAGGAGACCAGGATCCCTTTCTGGGTAAAGATCAAAGTGTAGACCAGGAGAGTAGTGATCACATCTCCCCCAGGATCATACCACCTTGGAGGCACCAACAACTTACAGACCCCAGAACTAGCTTTAAAAATAGCAACATGATAAAGCCTGAAGCTTGGGACAGTGCCTCCCCACCTGAGGTAAACAGAACCCAACTTTAACATAAAATTGAAAGTCAAGAAGTAGGCTGGAAAAATGAGCAAAAAACAACAAAAAAGAATTTGATCATAAAAAACTGCAGGGGGGCAGCTAGGTAGTGTAGTGGATAGAGCACCAGCCCTGGAATCAGGAGGACCTGAGTTCAAATCCAGCCTCAGACACTTGACACTTACTAGCTGTGTGACCCCAGGCAAGTCACTTAATCCCAACTGCCTAGCAAAAACACAAAAAGAAGCAAACAAACAAAAAATTATAGGGATGACCAAGACATAAACCCAGAAGAAGACAATAATGTGGGGGAAAAAACTACAAAGAAAGCCTCAAAGAAAAATGCTCGACCCAAGCCCAACAAGAATTCCTGGAAGAATTTAAAAAAGAGATAAGAATAGTAGAGAAAAATGGAAAAAGAAATGAGGGTAATACAAGAAAATTATGAAAAGAGAATTAATAGCTTGACAAAAGAGGCACAAAAAAAATACTGAAGAAAATAATAAGAAACAGAATCAGCCTAATGGTAAAAGAGACACAAAAATTCACTGAAGAGAACTCATTACTAAGTAGAATAGGACAAATGGAAAAGGAGGTATAAAAATTCACTGAAGAAAACAACTACTTAAAAAACAGAATTGGCCAAATGGAAAAAGAGGTACAAAATCTCATGAAGAAAATAATTTCTTAAAAATTAGAATTGGACAAATGGAAGCTAATGACATCATGAGACATCAGGAAACAATGAAACAAAGTCACAAGAATAAAAAAAAGAAGAAAATATGAAATATCTCATTGCAAAAACAACTGATCTAGAAAATAGATTGAGGAGAGATAATTTAAGAATGATTGAACTACCTAAAATCCATGATAAAAGAAAGAGCCTTGACACCATATATCAAGAAATTATCAAGGAAAACCACACAATATCTTAGATCCAGAAGATAAAATAGAAATTGAAAAAATCTACCAAACGCCTCTTAAAAGAGATACCAAAATGAAAACTCTCAACAACATCATAGCCAAATTCCAGGGCTTCCAGGTCAGAGAGGAAGTATTATAAGCAGCCAGAAAAAAGCAACTCAAATATTGTGGAACCACAGTCAAGATAACACAAGATTTATTAGCTTCTACATTAATGGATCAGAGGGCATGGAATGTGATATTGTGAAAGGCAAGTAGCTAGGCTAATAATCAAGAATAACCTACACAGCAAAACTAAATACAATCTTTCAGGGAGAAAAATGGATATTTAATGAAATAGAGGACTATTAAGCATTCCTGATAAAAAAGTCCAGAGCTGAACATAAAATATGACATTCAAACACATGACTCCAGAGAAGCATAAAAAGATAAATGTGAAAGAATGATCATGTGTCTCAATAAAGTTAAACTGTTTAAATTTCTATAAGGGAAGATGATACACATACATATAACTTTTAAGAACTTTAATATTAATAGGACTGTTAGAAGGAGTCTACATAGAAAGAAGATGCAGGAATGAGTCAATTATGTTGGGATGATCTCTTTAAAAAATAAAGGGGTGAGAAAAAGGGATAACCTGAAAGAACAAGGAAGTAAGAAGTAGACTAGGGAAAAATTTCTCACACAAAAGAGATATGCAAGGAATAACTTTTAGAGTGAAGAGGGAAATGGGGGTGGGATGGCAGGCAATGTTTGAACCTCACTCTCATTAGAATTAGGTTCAAAGAAGGATATATATATATGGAGAAAGAAATGTATAGAAATGTAACTTACCCAATAGAGAAATAGGAGGGGAAGGGAATAAGAGAAAGGAAAGGGGATGATAATGGGGAGGGCAGACTAAGGGAGGCAGTGGTAGACATTTGAAGAGGGACAGGGGAAAAAGAGAAGAAAATAAGATGTAGGGAAAAACACAGTTAGTTATCATAACTGTGAATATGAATAGGATGTGCTCACCCATAAAATGGATGTGTATAGCTGAATAGATAAGAAACCGGAATCCAAAAATATGCGTTTACAAGAGACACACTTGAAACAGAAAGACACACACAGAGTTAAAATAAAGGGCTAGAAAAGAATCTAATATGCTTCAGCTAAACTAAAAAAGGCATGGGTAGCAATCATGATTTCAGACTAAGCAAAAGCAAAAATAGATCTAATTAAAAGGGATAATCAGGGAAACTACATTTTTATAAAAATGACCTTAGACAATGAAGCAATAAAAAATTTTCACATGAAGTTTCTCTGATAAAGGCCTTATTTCTCAAATATATACTGAGTATAGAACTTAATCAAAGTTAAAATAATAAGAGCCATTCTCCAATTGATAAATGGTCAAAGGATATAAACAGGCAGTTTTCAAAAGAAATAAAGCTACCTATGGTCATTAAAATGCTCTAAATCACTATTGATTAGAGAAAGGCAAATTAAAACAATTCTGAGGAACCACCTCACACCTATCAGAAACTACAAATGCTGGAAGGGATGAGAGGAAAATAGGTACAGTAATATACTGTTAGTGGAGTTGTGAACTGGTCCAACCACTCTGGAGAACAATTTGGAACTAGGTCCAAAGGGCTATAAAACTGTGCATATCCGTTGACCCAGAAACACAAATTCTAGGTCTGCACCTCAAATAGATGAAGGGAAAAGAAAAAGGACCTATATATACAACACTAATTATAACAGCTCTTTTTGTAGTGACAAAGAACTGGAAATTGAGAAGATGTTCATTAATTGAGGAATGGCTGAACAAATTGTGGCATATGACTATGATAGAATATTATTATGCCATGGGAAAAGATGAATGATGAGAAGAGTGATTTCAGAAAAACATGGAAAGACTCATACGAACTGATGCAAAATAAAGTGAGAAAAACCAGGAGATCATTATGCACAACAACAGCAATATTGGAATGATGATCAATTGTGAAAGACTTGGCTATTCTGATCAATACAATGACCCAAGATAATTCCAAGACTCAAAATGAAAAATGCTATCTACCCCTAGAGAGAGAATTGATGACTCTGAGTGCAAATTGAAGTATAATTTTCTCACTTTATTTTTCTTGCTTTTTTGTGAAATATGGCTAAAATGGAAATATGTTTTGCATGATTTCACATGTATAATGGATATTATATTGCTTACCTTCTCAGTGGGTGAGAGTGGGAGTGGGTGAGAGGGAGAGAATTTGGAACTCAAAATTTAAAAAGAAAAGAATGTTAAAAATAAATAAAATTTAAAAATTTTTAAAAATAAAAATAAATTTTAAAAGAAATAAGGAAAATGTCAACTGGCAGAAATAAGCAGGGAATCCTTTGAAGAGTGGGGGATTATATGCACAAAGGCATAGAGAGGAGAGTGGGACAAAACCAGGTAAGAAGAAGGAGTCAAATTATGATGGAATGTAAAGTATGGTGAAGGGATCACAATGAAATAATGTTGGAAAAGTAAATTTGAGTGGAATATGGTGGGTCTTGAATAAAGAATGAAGGTAAAATCAATAGGTTTTGACCAATTGTTAGATGTGAGGGTAGCACAGGATAGAGAAGAGGACTAAGGTCAGGGAAAGGAAAGGATTAAGGTCAATTCTGAGATTTTTGATCCTAGGTGACTAGGAGGATGATGGTACCACCAAGGGAAATGGGGAGCAGAAAGAAGACCAATGAAGAAGACTGAAAATAGTAGCTCAAAGAAGTGGGAGGGGAAGTAGGACAAAGCAGTGCCAAGGGAGGGCTGCTTAACAGTGTCAAGTACTCCAAAAAGATTGAGGCAGGAGAGAAATGAGAAAATTTTGATTTGTTAAGTAGGAAGACACCAGCAACCCTAGAATGAGCACTTTTAGATGAACAGTAGGAAGCCAGATTGCAGGGATTAATGAAAGCCTAGGTCTAGATAGTGAGAAAGTGGAGGTGGGAAATGCAGATTGTGACTTCTGGAAGTGTAGCCATAAAGGGGGAAGGGGAACAGGGACATAGGATTATAGCCTGAGGGGTAGCAGAATCAGTGAAATCTGTGTGTGTGTGTGTGTGTGTGTGTGTGTGTGTGTGTGTGTGTGTGTATTTTCAGGAGGGAATAGATCAGAATATACTTGCAGTTAGTGAGCAGGAGTTAGAAGATAGGGAGAGATCAGAGTGTGAGAATGAATGACTGATGGGGTAGGGACCTGGAGAATGCAAGAAGAGATGAGATCAAGAGCATAAATGGATAGGTTAGATGTTTTTAGATGGAAGGAATGGGGGAATGTTGGGGAATGGCTAAACAAGTTGTGGTATATGAATGTAAAGAAATGTAGAAGAAATGATGAGTAGGCGGGTTTCAGAAAAAACCTGGAGAGACTTGCATGAACTGATGCTGAGTGAGAAGAACATTGTACACAGTAACAGCAACATTGTGTAATGATCAACTTTGATAGACTTAGCTCTTCTCAGCAATACAATGATCTAAGACAATTCCAAAAGACTCATGATGGAAAATGCTATCCACACCTAGACAAAGCACTATGGAGTCTGAATGAAGATCAGAGCATACTATTTTCTCTCTCTGTCTTTTTTCTTTCTCATGGTTTTTCTCTTTTGTTCTGATTCTTCTTTCACAACATGACTAATGTGGAAAAATGTTTAATATAATTGTACATGTATAACCTATATCAGATTTCGTGCTGTCTTGGGGAGCGGGGAGAGGAGAGAGGAAGAGAGAAAAAAATTGGAACTCAAAATCTTATAAAAATGAATGTTGAAAACTAAAAAAAAATTTTTAAATAATCTTTTCAACAAATATCATAGGAATGAAAAAAAATAAAATAAAAATGGGGCAACTAGGTGGCTTGGTGGATAGAACACTAGACCTGGAGTCAGGAGGACTTGAGTTTAAATCTGGCTTCAGACATTTACTAGCTGTGTGTCCCTGAGCAAGTCACATAACCCTGTGGGCCTCAGTTTCCTCATCTGCAAAATGAGCTGGAGAAGGAAATGGCAAACCACTCCCATATCTTTGCCAAGAAAACCCCAAAAGAGGTCATGAAAAGTCAACCACAAACTGAAAAACAACTAAATAACAACAAAAGATGTTTTAAAAGGAGGAGGCTTATATCATCCTTTGAAATAAAAGGAAAGGAATAGAGGATGATAAGAAACAAACTTTTTGTTATAACTCCAAAAGGTATGGAGGAGAGACTTCCAATGGACAATAAAGGAAAAGAGGTCATCTGCTGAGAAGGGTGGGTAGGGTAATGACTTGAAGTGAGAGAAGATTTGTAACTGCTGCCATGGAAACCCTGAATCTAATATTATATGTCACACAACTAAAAATGCAACTTGATATGAAACAAAACTATCATTATAACAAGGTGACTAGCAAATTCCATTTAACATTCCAAAAAGTATTCCTTACTTGTGTGCTTCAAAATCATTGTCGACTTGGCTCATTTCTTGGGGAGTGTTGTCTTCTCTTTGAAAAGTAATAATAATTTCATCATCTACAGAAACACAATGGCAATGGGGGAAAAGACATAGGAAAATATTATATTCTTGATTATTCAAATTAATCTTTCTTCATATAGCATAACAGTATTGCCATTAGACAATGTGTTGTTGATTTAAAGAAAAATTCTGACTATGTTATTATATATTCTAAATGGCTTAAAGGACTACCTTCAGAATTTGTGCTGGAATAGAAAAAAAGTGAATTCCCAAGTCCTGAAGATGTGAGTTTCAGTTTAAAAAAAAAAAACAAAACTACTGTATATAGAGAATTTCCTCAGTATCTGAGAATTGCTGTTTCATTTTGATTTGAGTCCCAAGCTTCAGGCTTGTTTCTTAATCTCAGTCACTTATCTACCCCACATATGTTCTCTGGCTATCTCTGCTTACTGGAACAATTATATGAATAAGCTGCACTGATTTATTGTTTCAGTTATTGAGTTATAACTATCATTCTCACTTAAAGGCATTAGATTTTTTTTTAAAACTTCAACAATCTAACAAATATTTATTAAACTTCATAACTTCTGTGGTCCTTTCTAGTTGTAAATCTATGATTCTGTGGGCAAAGCATTGTGCCAGGCACCAGGGATACAAAAACAAAAAGAAAAAATTCTCTGCCCTCAAGGAAACATATTTTTGGTGACCACATCTCCCTATGGACACTCATGGGCTAGATCCCAATACTAATTGGCACAGAAGCATCAACCTGTTCTGTTTTTTCCGACACGGGCCTTTGAGCTGCTCCTTCCTAAGCAGCCCTGTGGCACTCCAGTCTAAGGAGCTCACCGTAATAAATGTTTATTAATTGCCTGATTTGCCACATTGGCATTGGACTTAGTGCAGATGCCCAATAGGTTTTATCCCCACTGTAATTCAAGCTTCCAAGTTCAAATGATCCACCATCCTTAGCCTCCTCAGGAGCAGGAACTACAGGTCTGCACCACCATACTCATTCTATCTGAACACTTAGAAGAACAGAGTACTTTAAAAAAATCAGCAGTTCATTTCCAAAAGGAATTTTTTCCTTTAGAGTCAAATAGTAAAGGTAGGTACTATTTTTTTCAAATCGAAAGTTGTAAGGTGATGCCATGAAAAAAGCCTCACCTAGTTTCTACTTTTCTCATTATTCAAATAAAGTATTTCAAGTTTATTTATATTTCTAATATTTTGCAACACAAAAAGGATGTTTATCTAGTAATAACATTATTATAAAAATAGTTCAAATTTTTTGCCTTTCCAGGGGTTTATCACTAAATATTGATTCTTCAATACTTCAAGCATCTGTAATTTTGCCACTGTGAGTACCCCCTAAACTGAGAGAGATCTTAAACTTTCTCTCAAAGAGTTAACATTCAATGGAGAGAAACAACAAGTATATGTGTCAGTATATATAGAATAAATATAAACAGAATAAATATAAAATAATATGATAAAATATAAAATAATAAAAACAGAATAGAATAAATATAAAAATAAAATAAAGCTCATTAAACAAGAGGTAGTTTTAGAGAAAATACACTAGCTGGTGTGGAGATCAAGACAGTCCTCCTATGGAAGGTGATATTTGAGCTGTACCCTGAAGGAAGAGAGGAATTCTAAGAAGCAAAAGTGAGGAGTGTATTCCAGGCATGGAAGATGGACCCTGCAAAAGCATAGAGATAGGAGACTGACCCTTAAGTGTGAAGAACAGAAAGAAGGCCAGTTTGGGAAGACAAGGATGTCGAAAGAGAGTAAGGTAAAATAGGACTGGAAAGATAGTCTGAGCCTTATTGTGAAGGGCTTTAAAAGCTGGAGAGAAGAATTTTTATTTTATTGCTTAGGAGTTTATTGATTGGGGGAATGATACACACTTAAGGAAATTCACTTTGGCAGCAGTATGGAAGATGGGCTGGAATGGGGAGAGACTTGAGGAAGGGAAATCAATTAGAAGACTTTTGCTATAAGTTAGGTGAGAGGTGATGAAAGCCTGAACTAAGGTGGTAGCTGTGTGAATAAAAATAAGCAGTCAGTGCTGAGAGATATTGTAGAAATAGAAAAGGCATGAATTGGCAACTGAATGAACATGTGGGAAGAAGGAGAGTGAGGAGTCAAAAATAACACAGAGGTTACAAACCTCAGAAATTGAAAAGGTGGTGCTACTGTTGACAGAAATAGGGAAGTTTGGGGGCGGGGTGGATTTGGAGAGAAAATTAATGAGTTCTGTTTTAGTTTATTAAGTATGAGATGTCTCTTGGACAGCTAATTTGAAACATTCATTCTTTGATACACACATTTTTGGACATGGCAAATGTATGGATCTGTTTTACTTAACTATACTTATTTATTACGAAGATCGTGTTTTTCTTTTCTTATTTGGTGAGGTGTTATCAAAGAGAAAAAAAAAGAAGAAAATAAAAAAAGTCACCAAAACATTTTTTAATGCCCAGAAGATATCATAAGGAAGTTCTAAAGGAAGCACAGAGAAGAACAACAACTTGAAAGTAACTAAAATTATGTACTTGTTTAAAAAGCAAGTTATACATAATAGAGATTTATATCTTCATATAAAATCCTATTTTTCTATTCTGTTTGCTTATAGTAATATTTTCTCTTTTTTTAGTGTTTTATGGAATTCAGAAAAAATTAAGATAAAATCTCCATTTTCATGATACTAAGTTCCAAGACTAGTAACTCATAGACTATACAGTATATATGTATTAATGAGATGAGTACTTCTTGAGTAATTAATGAGATATACTTCTTACACAAGTAAGAGTTCATCTATTCATTTTAACCTATAGAGCTATAAATAGATATTTATGTAAAGAGATATTTATGGCTCACTAACTTATGTTTGCAAATCTTACCAGTTTTAAGTGTGAAAAAAGCAATCTGTCAGTGACATTTAAAGATCAATGCACCATTGCACACAGGGTATTATTAGTTCAGTTTATATGACTCCTCTCTAACCTCCCTCCTCTACTCCTTCAATACTCTACCAAATAGCTCCTATAGCAAGTGGTGTGGAGCACCATGAGTGAGCTAAGGCTGTGCCACCATGGGATAGCTCAGGGCATTTGCTACTCATGTGCATGCAATATTTTTCTGAGGACCAAGTGGTACCCAGAAAACTATGGGGGAAGAACTAAAGCAGGAGAGAGGAGCTGGATTAATACATCCAAAAAAGGGTAATAGAGGAAGTATAAATGGGAAATAGGACAAGGAATCTGAATGCAGAGGTCTTGTCAGGGTGTGAGATAAGGGAGAGTGAGGGAAAATACCTGGGTCCAGTAAATCAAGTAGGGGACAAGATTCACAGGAATCTGCCAAATTTGAAGGCCTTTTCCCAATTTTCATTCTTCTTGACCTCTCTGAAGCATTTGACACTGCTGGCCACCTTCTGGATATGCTCACCTTTCTAGAACTTTGTGTCACTTTTCTCTCTTCATTTTTCTTTTACCTGTCTGACCATTCTTCAGTCTCTTTTGCTGGATCATCATCCAGATCATGCCCCTTAATCGGATGTATTCCAAGACTCCGTCCTGGCCCCACATTCTCATGGTGACCTTATCAGCTCCCATGGGTTCCATTATCATCTCTCATGGTTCCTGGATCTATATATCTAGCCCTAGACATTCTCACATACCCAACTGCCTATTGAATATTTTTTAATTGGAAGCCCTACAGACACTTCAAATTCAACATGTCCAAAACAGAACACATTTTCTTTCTCTCCCAAACTTGTCCCTCTTCTGAACTTCTCTAATTTTTCTTAAAGTACCATTATCTTTCCAATTACCCAAGTCTGAAATCTCAGAGCCTTGACCCTTGACCCCTCTCTCTCCCTCACCCTTCATATTCAACAAAATCTTGTCAATTCTACCTTCACAACATCTGTCCCATTCTCTTTACTCACATGACTACCTTGGTAATTTGAGCCCTCAGTAATAGTCCAAGTAAGATGTGATGAAAGTGGTGGCCAAGTGAGTGGAGGGAAGAGACAAACACAAGAAATGTGGACATAGAAACAAGAATTAGCAACTAAGTGGATTCATAGCATGAGTGAGGGTGAGGAATCCAGGATGACACAGAGGTTACAAACTTTGATGATTAAAATTTGGTGACACCCTTGGCAGAGAGAGATGTTTGGAAGAGGGTTAGTTTGTGGAAAAAGTTAATGAGTTAAGTTTTGGTCATGATGCATTTGAAATGCCTCCAACATATAGTTTGAAATGTCCAGTAGGCAGTTGGTGATATAGGACCGAAACTCAAATGGAAATGTAGATCTGGAAACCATCAGGATAACGAAAATAATTAAATCCATATGAGCTGAATAGATCACCAAGAGTGAGAGTATAGAGAGAGAGAAGAAAAAGGGGCTAAGGGTAGAACCTTGTAGTACACTCATAGTAAGAGGACAGGATCTGGATGATGATCCAACAAAGGAGAGAGAGGAAGATCTACCAGACTGCAGGAGAAGAACCAAGAGAAAAGAGTGTCACAAAGCTCCAGAAAGGAGAGCATTTCCAGAAGGAGATGTGTCAAATGCTGCAGAGAGGTCAAGAACAATGAAGATTGAGAAAAAGCCATTGGATTTGGGCAGTAAGAGATCATTGGTGACTTTGGAAAGGTTACTTCTGTTGAGTAATAAGGTAGAAAACCAGATTATAGAAGGCTTAGAAGGCGAGGTGAGAGGCAGTGAAAACAATGAGAGGAGACAGAAAATTCGAGGTTTACAAAGGGAGGAGATATAGAATGATAGTTTGTGGGGATGCTAAGGTTTAGATAGGGCTTTTTAAGGGTGGGGGAGACTTGACCCTTTTTATAGGCAGCAGACAAAGTACCAAAAGATAGACAGAGATAGAGGATGAGAATGAGCGCAATTGTCTGAAGAAGACGGGGGGAGGATGGGATAAAGGGTAGATTTAGAGGAGCTGGTATTAACAAGGAAAGGGGCTATATGTCAACAGACATTGGAGTAAAGGAGTAGAAAGTGGATGATAAAGTCAAGGAG